TCTTTCACATCCAGAACTCAGCTTTCCTAGATAAGGAGGTTCTGACCAACACCGCATTGACACATAGTTATACATCACATTTAGTTCCATCCACTCACAGTGGAATGCTTAGTTTACTTGTCATGTTTTAATTGTTTATAAAATAAATTCTTAGTTTTATAAACCTGACTCTTTTATGAATAAAAATGAAGTGTGTACAATTACTTCATAAAGCAAAAACCCTAGAATCTTCTGATTAATACAAGCAGGGTTGATATTTTATATTTAAATAGAGCATCACAGCTCATTGATCATAAGTAGAGTTAATATATATCTTGAGCTCTTAAAGCACTCAATTTGCCAATGCTACAGTTGAAAATAAGATATAGTATTATTACACTATAATAGTATTAACTATTTCTATAAGATTACTGAAACCCTCCACCAGCTCTACTAGAGCCTCTGGGGCATTCACTCATTCTTCTTGCTGTTGTTTGTTATTTTAAATGTGAGAAAAAAGAAAATGTTACCATTAGTGTGCATGTGCTCACTATCAGCTGTGATATTAATGATAACATCTATCAGGTGAATAAAAACGTATTAATGAGATCTGATTTGAAAACTAAAAATAATTTTCACCCGTGATCTTAACAGTGAATAAATCCATGATTAAGTTCCTGGCTTCCTTTCATCAGCCGGCAGCAGCTCATATTAACTCACGCATAAATTTACAATTAAATTCTGCTGCAGGTAATGACGACGCATGTTGCCTCGGAAGGTCTTGTCTCCGTAATCAGAATTTCCTATCACAAGATCATCAGTAGGAATGTTTTTCTGAAGCTCTTTATGATCAGACCTGGTGGAAGTGTCAGGTAGCAGCGGCCTCGTCCCGCTGCACACACACCTGTCATCTCATCACCTCTCCATTCTAGCGTCTTCCACTCACAGATCAGATGCTCAGGCACTGACGCTCTCTTGTCTCTCCTCCAGCTTCTCACGTCCTCATCCTCATTCCATCCCGAGGAGATTACTCTGGACACTCTCTGCCACACTCAGGACTACACAAGTCATCCCTTTCTTTCTAGTCCCGCTAGAGCTATTCTCACTACTGGTTCTGTCGGTGAGCTGCTTGTAGCTCCTTGATCAAACTGCCCGTCAGTTTTCACCCGGCACTTTGACTTCCACATCTAGGCTAACCGACATGCCACAGCCTCTCTATTTGTGATTGTTGGATATTCTCGGGCTGATCCAGCAGAAGTTTTGCAGCTGAGAGCTGAAGTCGCCCAACTCAGAGTCGTGGTACTGACAAACCCAGCTTGATTCTCTGTTGGATGGTGGTGTAGCTCTCAACCACGCTCACCTCGACGCAATGTCATGCCACCACAGGGGAGGCAGAGTCATAGATGGCAACTCTGGACAAATGTAACTATGTTGACGGCTGTCCTGACGGTGTCCTCACAGCACTGGAGATGACATTAGTTTGCCAACCCACTCGTTACTCCACCCACCAGTCACGAGTGGCCCTTCTTGTGGGTGGCTCCCCTCTACGATGCCGAATCCCCTGCCTGCTTGGATTACAATCCGTTTGTTAAATAATGGAAAAGAGTTTTGTTCCTCCAAGTAGCGAGGTCAGCGCTGACGCATGACTACGTCCAGCTACGCCAGAAGACCCAGTGCATCAATATCTCTTGAGTTCAGTACACTGGTGGCGGGGGTGAACTGGGGAGACGGTGACCTACAGTGGTGTGAAAAACTATTTGCCTCCTTCCTGATTTCTTATTCTTTTGCATGTTTGTCACACAAAATGTTTCTGATCATCAAACACATTTAACCATTAGTCAAAGATAACACAAGTAAACACAAAGTGCAGTTTTGAAATGATGGTTTTTGTTATTTAGGGAGAGAACAAAATCCAAACCTACATTGCCCTGTGTGAAAAAGTAATTGCCCCTGAACCTAACAACTGGTTGGGCCTCCCTTAGCAGCAATAACTGCAATCAAGCGTTTGCGATAACTTGCTACAAGTCTTTTACAGCGCTCTGGAGGAGTTTTGGCCCACTCATCTTTGCAGAATTGTTGTAATTCAGCATTATTTGAGGGTTTTCTAGCATGGACCGCCTTTTTAAGGTCATGCCATAGCATCTCAACAGGATTCAGGTCAGGACTTTGACTAGGCCACTCCAAAGTCTTCATTTTGTTGTTCTTCAGCCATTCAGAGGTGGGTTTGCTGGTGTGTTTTGGGTCATTGTCCTGCTGCAGCACCCAAGATGGCTTCAGCTTTAGTTGACGAACAGATGGCCGGACGTTCTCCTTCAGGATGTTTTGGTAGACAGTAGAATTCATGGTTCCATTCATCACAGCAAGCCTTCCAGTTCCTGAAGCAGCAAAACAACCCCAGACCATCACACTACCACCACCATATTTTACTGTTGGTATGATGTTCTTTGTCTGAAATGCTGTGTTACTTCTACGCCAGATGTAACGGGACATTTGCCTTCCAAAAAGTTCAACTTTTGTCTCATCAGTCCACGAGGTCTTTTCCCAAAAGTCTTGGCAATCATTGAGATGTTTCTTAGCAAAACTGAGACGAGCCTCGATGTTCTTTTTGCTTAACAGCGGTTTACGTCTTGGAAATCTGCCATGCAGGCCATTTTTGCCCAGTCTCTTTCTGATGGTGGAGTCATGAACTTTGACCTTAATTGAGGCAAGTGAGGCCTGTAGCTCTTTAGAATTGTCCTGGGGTCTTTTGTGACCTCTCGGATGAGTTGTTTCTGCGCTCTTGGGGTAATTTTGGTCAGCCGTCCACTCCTGGGAAGGTTCACTACTGTTCCATGTTGTTGCCATTTGTGGATAATGGCTCTCACCGTGGTTCGCTGGAGTCCCAAAGCTTTAGAAATGGCTTTATAACCTTTACCAGACCGATAGATCTCAATTACTTTTGTTCTCATTTGTTCTTGAATTTCTTTGGATCTTGGCATGATGTCTAGCTTCTGAGGTGCTTTTGGTCTACTTCTCTTGTGTCAGGCAGCTCATATTTAAGTGACTTCTTGATGGAAACAGGTGTGGCAGTAATCAGGCTTGGGGGTGGCTACAGAAATTGAACTCAGGTGTGAAACACCTCAGTTGGGATATTTTTTAACAAGGGGGCAATTACTTTTTCACACAGGGCCATGTAGGTTTGGATTTTGTTCTCTCCCTAAATAATAAAAACCATCATTTCAAAACTGCATTTTGTGTTTACTTGTGTTATCTTTGACTAACGGTTAAATGTGTTTGATGATCAGAAACATTTTGTCTCGCTGGTTACATGCGAGATGAGATGGTGGGTCACGAGACCCTGGAAGCACTGGGCGATGCAGATGATATGTTAAATTATAAATGATCCGCACTTGTGTAGCACCTCTCAGAGTCAGAGGACTCCAAAGCACTTTACACTGCAGTGTATCATTCATCCATTCACACACACATTCACACCCTGATGGTGATGAGCTACAACGTAGCCACAGCTGCTATGAGGCGCCCTGACACAGGCGGGGCTACAGAGCACAGGCTCCACCGGTCCCTCTGACCACCACCAGCAAGCAAGGTGGGTTAAGTGTCTTGCCCAAGGACACAACAGCAGATTTCTCTGGTGGGAGCTGGGATCGAACCTGCAACCTTCCGATTACTGGACAACCCGCTCTACCTCCCTGAGCTACTGCTGCCCCCCTCCTGATCAACTAACGGGTAATGGTTTGCCCTTTCTTCTTCACGGCTTCCAGCTCAGCTCCACACCGACATTTACAAAACCCCTCCGAGGAACGACCAGATGCAGAACCTACGATCCTGGGAGGACTTCCCCAATTGGATAGGGAACAAGGACTTCGTACCTATCATGACCCACTTAGCCACCTGTCCTGAGCTAGCAGCTAGGACCAAGGGAGCATCCTACCTGGCACACAATCGCCTTCAGCCCTTTGAGATTCCTCATTCAGGTGGAATGAGGAGTCCCATCAAGTCATCTGCTCTCCCAGAAACAGGAGCAGATTACAACTGATACACCTGCTCCCCGTTTCCTGTCACATCCCCATCACGGCTGTGAACAGCCACCCGTTGCAACAATCCATTACCATGTGTATTGGAGACAACCAGGAATATATCCAGTTTGACAGGGTCCAGACCTTAACCCCATTGAGAATCTTTGGGATCAACTGGAGAAGGCTTTGTGCAGCGGTCAGACTCTACCATCAGCAATGCAGGATCTTGGTGAAACATTAATGCAACACTGGATGGAAATAAATCTGGTGACACTACAGAAGCTTATTGAAACAACTCCACAGAGGATGTGTGTCGTAATCAATGCTAAAGGTGATCCATCAAAATACTAGTGGGACCTTATTACCTAGGCTAAAATAGAGACAAAATGAGTCTGTTTGTGTTTTTAGTTAATTCAGACGTCCACCATTTAAATATCTGACCAGGTAACAAATCCACAAGTCACTTACAAGTGTCTGCTTCTCCCCAGGTCTTCAGGCCTGTCAGTGGCTGACATGTGACTCATGTCTGTGTGTGTGTGTGTGTGTGTGTGTGTGTGTGTGTGTGTGTGTGTGTGTGTGTGTGTGTGAATACAGTAAAGGCTGCTGGAATGCAAATGAAATGTCACATTAGTGCCGGCTGATTGCGTTGCTCTGTTTTCACTCGTAGTTCATCGTCAGAAAACACTCCAGGACTCCTTCAAATGCTCACAAGTCCCATCTGAAACCCCCCCCCCCCCCTTACTCTCTCTCTCACACACACACACACACACACACACACACACACACACACACACACACACACACACACACACACACTGAAATATCACAGTGCTGTCAGGCATGGCTTTATTGAATTTAATTTTGAGTGTTTCCTCTCATGAGGGTGTATAAGGAGAGCGTGCCCTGGGCTGACCTCTGAGTGTTGTTTTCATACTGTTAACCACTCTTCAGTCAGCCTAACCCTCCTCCCTTGTCTGTCTCTTTTCTGTATTTCCTCCTCCACAGTCTGCATCCTGTACACACAAGGAATAGCCAACAGGGAGTGGAGAGAGGTGAGTATGTGGGTGAGGTGGCAGCGATACCATGACTTTATAGAAATCCTGTCAGTGGACCTTACTTTATGCATGCACCTGATTAAAGCTGCTCTTGGTTCCCTTTCTGATAAGTTTTGTTCCAAGCACGTTAACACGTAACTTACAAGGGTTTGATCATATTCCTCCTGTTTTTCTGGGGAATCTGTGTTCGTGTGAGTGAAATGTGGAAGCTGTGGTAACATTTTGATTAGATTCCTTCTGAAATCAGTCATGTATTCAGTTATTAAACATGATCTCTTTCACTTGTGTTGCAGTTTGGGAGGACAGAAGTCATAGACAACACCCTCAACCCCGACTTTGTCCGCAAATTCATCCTGGACTATTTCTTCGAGGAGAGGCAGAACCTTCGCTTTGACCTGTGAGTGTGCCTGATGACTTAAGCGTGTTTGATGTGCGTCAGTTGTCGTGGAAATCGAACATGCAGCCGCGGTGGGTGAAAGTGCTGCTTTGTTCTTCATGCAAAGTTGACTGTGACTGAAATATTCATGGGCGGCACTGAGGGAGATGAAAAGCTCTTCTCCCCTAAATGAAAGAGAACTTCTCTGTTTCCTTCTGGAGTTGTTTCCATCAAACAGGACTTTGACACAAACATGAAGGCTAAAGACTAGCCTTGTTTCAACCAACTGGTAGAGCCTTTCTCAAGTCCCTACATCACACTGACGCAATAAATGAACTTAACAAGAACAGAAAGGTAAAACAAGAAAACTGTTAAAAATATGGAGTTTGTTTGAGGAAAAGGTGTGACATTATTACATTGCATTATTTAACCTTAATATGATCACAATTATGATAATATGAATATTATTAATTTACATTACAGTAAAGCCCTTACTGCCCCACATCAAAACATGCAAAAGTGAAACATTTTCATTTCTTATTTCTTGGTGAGGGAGTTAAAAGTTAATAACATTAAATGTTTGATTTTGTTAAAGTGTATCGTTATTTAATCTTTTCAGAGGACGGGAGGAGTGGCTATGTGGAAAAGGTGCATTCAATGACCAGAAAGGTCTGGGTTAGGCTTTTGTACAGCGCTATGTGAGACCACAAAGCACCCTGAATTACGACTCTGTGGAGGCATTTCCACCATATTTGTTGGTGTTGGAATCAGTGTTGGGAATGTTACTTTTTAAAAGTAATTAGTTATAGTTACTAATTACTTTGTTACTGGTGCGTATCTCCAGCGGTCAATGGGCAAGTAGGCGGGGTACACCCTGGACAGAGAGCCAGTCCATCGCAGGGCAACACAGAGACACACAGGACAAACAATCATGCACACACATACACACACACACACACACACACACACACACACACACACACACACACACACACACACACACACACACACACACACACACACACACACACACACACACACACACCTAAGGACAATTTGGACAGACCAATCAACCTAACAGTCATGTTGTTGGACTGCGGGAAGAAGCCGGAGAACCCGGAGAAAACCCACGCATGCACAGGGAGAACATGCAAACTCCATGCAGAAAGATCCCAGGCCGGGAAGCGAACCCAGGACCAGAGGTGGAAAGTAACGAATAAAATTTACTCACGTTACTGTAATTGAGTGGCTTTTTTGCTTATTTATACTTTTTAAGTCGTTTTTAAAATCCTTACTTTTACTTTTACTTGAGTACGTTTTTACACAAGAATTGTAATTCGCTACATTTTAAATCATATCCGTTACTGAGTAAAAATAAACTGTAGGCTTAATAAATGAAAAATATTACGTGTAGCAGCATCGGAACAGAAAGAGACACCTGCATGAGCGCCGCGTCTAAACCGGGGTGGGGGGTGGGTACAAATGACAATGAGGACAAACGGCCATTTTTACCGCAGTTTAACTCAAAACCATCAGTTCAGTCCCTGTGATCCACTCGCTGTTTACCTCCTCTCCTGTGGGTTGGAACCCGCACCTTCGCGCACCGGTGTGACGTCATCAGAATTCCGTCATCAGAGTTCCACTCGGTTCGGTAGCCGGACTCGGTTCCGTGTTTGAAATGTGTTTCTCTACCGCTCCGCACGGAAGCGGCAAATTAACGTTTAGCGCTCATAACAAGCGGATTATCAGTGCTCTGCTCATAAAACGGAAGACCTGCAGGCCTCCGTGAGTTAAAACATCCTGATACTGTTCAGGTGTGTAGACAACCTGCTGTTAGTTTAGTATTTTGTCCTAATCCGCTTGCCATACCTCCGGGTAGGTCTGTGTATGTGTTGAGTGCCATATGTCAATGGTTGGGTGGTATAGTTGGCATTCAGTTAGTGAGTCCATGCATGTAAGTTGTCTGCTGTTCTGCTGGTTAATAAAACCATGTTAACTGAATATACCGCTTCATCATTATCATACCGGTGAACATACAACAAGGTGTAAACATTGTGCTCCATCCCTGTGTTTGAACTCAGAAGATGCTTCTTCAAGCCACAGATATGTGATGATTTAGCTTGTTTCTTTATTTTACTCAAGAATAAGAGATTAAAATATTACTAAAGCAGTTCAATGTAGTTAAATTAGTCATTCAAAAGATTCTAAAATGCTGCAGTGTGTGTGTGTGTGTGTGTGTGTGTGTGTGTGTGTGTGTGCGCGTGCGTGCGTGTGTGTGTGTGTGTGTGTGTGTGTGTGCGTGCGTGTGTGTGTGTGTGTGTGTGTGTGTGGGTGTGTGTGTGTTACACATATAGGACTGCATGAGACAGAGTGGTTTCATCAAATCCATGCATCCTATATCTTGGCTGAAGTAATGGCTCAGGAAAATAACTTGTATTTCATAAACAATGACGTCTCTGCAGTGTTTAAGATAATGTTTTATCTTATATTGGACCGATCTTTGGTCTGGGAGGCGTAACATATCATGATGCAAGCCTTTTAAAACATGTTAAAGTGTTACAAGAGGAGATAAATGCATAAATTTAAAGTTCATGTTTGGAGACCAACCTTCACAGTGTGGAGGCTCACGCTGGTGAGGAGACACCATTAGTTCTAGTAACACCTGGGCTCCCAAGGCCTGTTCTGACAGGATGGACGTTACGGGACCCTTAAGGATTCCAGTTGGACGATTAGAGGATTATTTAGGAGGATTGGAATGAACAAACTGATTTCAGTGGTGAAGGGTTAAAGGTATTGGCTCGGCATTAAAATTGTAGAAATGCAAAATAACTACACTTTACCATCTATATAAGCATTTACTGGGTTCAGTTTTTTATTTTCTTAAGGACTTTTGTCATAAATCATTACAGAAAATCCAAATCCTCTCCTCCAGACAGTGAAGAACTGTGTGTCGCATACGTCACTCCAGCAGGTAAAACAAGCTAGCTGCTGATGCTAGTATTGTGGATCACTGTTATTTGTTTACTTTCATGCTCCTAATTATTACGTAAAATTGCGTTTACAGCTGCAGCAAAAGGTCTGAGCCCTAATGGGCTCGACACACGGGAGGCGACATGCCTCTCCTCCATTTATTTTCAATGAGACATGCGCGACAATGCGATAATCGTGGGTCTCCCTCCTACTAAGCGAAACGCGAAAAACGTGCATGTGAAATTTTGCGCTCGTGCACGTGCAGTGCACAGGCAACCCAATGACGCAATCCCAGAAAGTTGAAACATTTTCAACTTTTCATCGCCGTCGCTCGGACGAGGACCAATCAACGGAGGTTTCCTTCACTGACCAATGAGCAGACAGGATGCTCCGTACATCTCTGAGCAAACATGGAGGAGAAGTTGATTATTATTATGTTTTATAGTAAAATCAGAAGTAAGATTTCACATAACTCTAGCAGCACCTTGTGAAACATCATATCTACCGCTTTTTAAACTCTGAACCGCTTAAATAACCTTAATTCCCTCCAACCTGACACAGCCAAACAAAACAGCGGAAGTTTCGATTTCGCCATGGAACAGAACGTGTAGACGGCTTTGTCACTGGCCGCTGCCGCGGGTCGCCTCCCGTGTGTCGGGTAATAAAAGCGACAAATTTCGATGATCCCGGTCATTTGTCGCCTCCCATGTGTCGAGCCCCTAACAGGTCTGATCTAAAATAATAACCTACATCTATAAGTCCATCTAGAACTGCACCGCTACTTCTGGACTCTAGACGAGTCCCGTTAGCATGACTGCAGCTAAACTGCTAACCGTGTTCGCTCCGGTAAGGAAAGAACAAGTCCTTTGGGAAAGCTACGGCACACACACACACACACACACACACACACACACACACACACACACACACACACACACACACACACACACACACACACACACACACACACACACACACACACACACACACACACACACACACAGATATAATCTAAAAGATGATCTCTATATTTCAACATTAGAACCTCCATGACATCCTGGATTAGTACAAACGAGTTGAGCTAAGGAGTTACTCCAGCATCAGGAAGATTTATTCTGGTAAAGTGTTGGTTAAATATTTTCCAGAGTTATATCAATAAATACACACAGCAGGAAAACTGTAGATTACTGAACTATAATGGGACACATGATGGAGCTAAGACCAGCTGAGAACTCGTCAGCTTAGAGCTCCCAGTGGAGCACAGAAATAAAATATTTAAGAAAAGTAAACAACCTGTACCGATTTTGGTTCTGAAGATGAACAGAATCCTCCTCTATGTCCAAATCGGGTCGCAGGTCTTCTGAGTCAAATGGTCTAAAACATGTCTGCACCTCTGGTAGTGATATCCAGCTGGCGGGGTCGGAGTTCGGTTGAACTTCTCCGGTAATCCAATATCCGTTCTCGTCGCCGTATCCCAGAGAAAAAACAAATCTGATGGACCAGTAGAGGCTTCAGAAGCTACATCTGATTGATGACACAATGTTCTCTGCATAACGCTAACGCAGAAACAGCGGAGCCAGGCGTTGTTTACTACAGCTGTTTCAGCAGAGCTCCATGTGAAACGTCACCAGCTGCCCAGGGCTTAGACCGCAAGTTAGTTTCTGTTTTTCCCTCGCCGGTCACATACATCAGATTTTCTTACAATTCCAGCCGTCAAGATCCAAAAACCTTCATCATCTGACGTTTTAATACACATTTACACATGCTGTTCAAACGAATTTTGCCTCTGGCCGATATCTTTAAATGAGTGAGTGAACCCACTACCAAGGATGAACTCTGCTAACTTTAAAAATCAGCTGCTCTAAATAAGCATGAAGGTCAGAGAGGAGCTCTAGGACGGACATGGATAAAGGAACTGTAATGTGGAGGTAAAGTAGGGCAGGGCCAACGTTATCAGCTGTCATACGGTCCATCTGAAATGTTTGACTTTCATTTAGCTTGTTATGTGACAGGTTAGAGCACAGTCTCATGTTAGAGTTTTGTCATGAGAA